GATGAGACTTGAAAGAGGAGACATTACACCTGATACCACAGTAATACAAAGAATTGTAAGAAATTACTGTGAATAATTATATTCCTACATTTTGGATAACCTAGGAAGAAATGTATAAATTCCTGAAAGCATACAACCTTTCAAGACTGAATTATGAACAGATAGAAAATCTGAATGGAGCTATAAATAGTAAGGAGATTAAATCAGTAATCAGTAATTTCCTAACAATGGAAAGTCAGGGCTATGTGACTTCACTGGTGAATTCTACTAAACATTTAAAGGAGAATTAATACTAATTCTTCTCAACTCTTGCAAAAAATTTGAAACGAGGGAACACTTCCAAACTCATTTTACAAGTCCACCATTACCCTGATAACAAAGCCAGACAAGGACACCACAAGAAAAAAGAAATGCCCTGGCTGGTGTGGCTTGGTTGGGCATTGTTTTGCAGACCAAAAGGCTGCAAGTTCAATTCCTGGTCAGGGTACATGCCTGGGTTGTGGGTTTGGTTCCCAGTTTGGGTGTGCATGAGAAGCAGCCAGTTGATGTTTCTCTCTCATATTGATGTTTTTCTCCTTCTCTTCCTCTCTCCCTTGTCCTTTTTCTAGAATCAATAAAAGGAAAATTAAAAACAAAAAAGAAAAAAATTATAGGCCTCTATCCTTGATGAATATAGATGCAGAAATTCTCAACAAAATACTAGCAATATGAATTCAACATTATATTAAAACAGTCATACCCTGTGACCATGGGATTTATTCTTGAGATGCAAGGATGGTTGAATATAACCAAATCAACAAATATGATATACCACATTAACAGAATGGAGGTTAATATCATAATCACTCAGTAGATACAGGAAAAGCACTTAAAAAAATTCAACATCCTTTCATGTTAAAAACTCTCAACAAATAAGGTATAAAAGAAATGAACCTGGACATAACGAAGCCCATATATGACGGACCCACAGCTAACATCATACTCAGTGGTGAAAAGCTCAAAGCTTTTCCCTCTTAGATTAAGAACATTCACACAATGGAATACTACTTGGCCATAAGAAAGAAGGATCTCTTACCCTTTGTAACAGCATTGATGGGCCTGGAGAGCATTATGCTAAGTGAAATACGCCAGTTTGAGAAAGACAAGTACCATATGATTTCACTCATATGTGGAATCTCATGAACAAAATGAACTAACAAGCAAAATAGTGACAGACTCATAGATAGAGAACAGACTGACAGCTCACAGGGGTGTGGGCTGGGTGGAGGGATTAAGCAAAAAGAAGAAAACTCGTTGACATGGACAACAGTGTGGTGATTAATGGGGATGGGGTCAGTGGAGGGGAGATAAGTGGTGTTGGATGGAGACTTACGTGGGGTAGTGAATACACAACACAGTGTACAAACGATGTGTTGTAGAATTGTGCACCTGAAACCTATATAATTTTGTTAACCAGTGTCATCCCAATAAATTCAATGAAAAGGAAAAAAATTATTATAGATTTACATTAAAAAAAAAAAGAACAAGACAAGGATGCCCACTATTACCACTTCTGTTCAATACTGTACTGGAAGTCTTAGTTAGAGCACTTAGGCAAGAAAAAGAAATAGAAGGCATTAAAATCAGAAAGGAAAAATGAAAATGTCTTTTTGCAGATTATACAACCATATACAGAACTTTAAAGACTTTACTAAAAACTGTTAGAACTAATATATGAACTCTGTGAAGTTACATGATACAAAATTAACATGGAAAAATTGATTTTGTACACTAACAATGACTATCAGATAAATGAAAAAAGCTACCCCATTTATTACAGTAGCATCAAAAACAATAACCTACTTAGGGATAGATTTCATTATGGAGATGAGGCCTGTACACTGAAAAATGTGAGACATTGGTGAAAAAGACTAAAATAAATGGAAAGATGTACTGTGTTCTTGGGTTGGAAGAATTAATATTGTTAAAACGTCTATACTAAGCAAAACCATCTACAGATTCAGTGCAATTCCAATGGCATTTTTCACAGAAATAGGGAAAACACTCATAAAATTCATATGGAATCACAAAAAAACCCAAATAGTCAAAGCAGCCTTGAGAAAGAACAAAGCTGGAGGCATCTCATTTCTTAATTTGGAACTATATTGCAAAGCCATAGTAATCAAAACAGCATGGTACTGACATAAAAGGGGACACTTAGACTAATAGAACATAAGAAAGAGCCCATACACATATTATCAATTAATCTGTGACAAGGGTGTCAGCGTACACAATTGGGGAAAGATAGCCACTTCAATAAATGGTTCTGGGAAAACTGGATAGCCACATGTAGAAAAATTAAAGTGGATCCCTATCGCACACCATTAAGAAAAAGCAACCCCAAATGGATAGAAAACTTAAACATAAAACCTGATACCATAAAATTCTCAGAAGAAAATGGGAAAAGCTCTTTGATATTAGTTGCAGCAATGATTTTTTTTTTTTTTTTGCATCTGATACTAAAAGCGCAAGCAACAAAAGAATTTTAAGAGGGACTACATCAAATTAAAAGCTTCTGCACAGCAGAAGAAACCACCAACTGAATGAAAAGGTATGCTAAGGGATGGAAGAATATATTTGCAAATCATATATCCAATAAGAGGTTAATATCTAAAGTATGCAAGGACCTCACACAACTCCATTGCAAAAATCAACAAATAATCTATTTGATTATTTGAAAAATAGGCAGATTGGACTATATTGAACTAAAAAAAAAAAACCACAGCAAAAGAAACCAACAACAAAACAGACAGTTGACAAAATGGAAGATGATATTTACAAACAACAGGTCTGAAAAAGGTTTAATTTCCAAAATATATAAAGAACTCATAAAACTTAACACCAAACAAATAATCCAATTTGAAAAATGGGCAGAGGACCTGAAGAGACACCTCTCCCAAGAAGACATAGAAAAGAGTCAACAGATATATGAAAACATGTCCAAGTTCACTAGCTGTTAGAGAGATGCCAATCAAAACTGCCGTGAGATAACACTTCATACCAGTTAAAATGGCCATTAAGAAGACAAGTGATAACAAGCGTTGGAGAGGTTGTGGAGAAAAGGGAACCTTCATTCACTGCTGGTGGGAATGTAGTCTGGTATAGCTACTGTGGAAAACAGTCTGGCATTTCATCAAAAAATTAAGAATAGAATTACGATATGACCCAGAAAATCCTCTCCTGGGTATCTACCCCCAAAACTCAAAAAAACATGTATTCGGAAAGGTATATGCACCCCTGTGTTCATTATTCATGGTGGCCGAGACATGGAAACAACCAAAGGGTCCTTTGATAAGTAATTGGTTAAAGAAGATGCGGTACATATACACAGCCATAAGAAAAGATGAAGTACTACCATTTTTGACGACATGAATGGACCTTGACAATATTAGGCTAAGTGAAGTAAGTTAGAAAAAGCTAAAAATCATATTATTCCACTCATGTGGTATATAAAACTGAAACTCATGGACAGAGACAGCGATGTGGTGGTTGCCAGAGAGAAGAGGGTAAGGGGTGGGGGTTGCGTAACATGGTGATGGGAGATGATTTAACTTTGGGTGGTGGGCACACAGTACAATATACAGATCTAGCATCATAGAAATGTACACTGCATTTAATTTTTACTTGAGTTGATTTTTTTTTCTGAGCCAATATTCTCATAATTATGGAGTCTGTATATTATCTTCCCAGGGTTGCCATAACAAGGTAGCTCAAACTGGGTGACTTAAAACAACAGAAATGTATTTTCTCATAGTTACAGAAGCAGGAAGACTGAATCAAGGTGTTAACAATGCCATGCTCCCCGTGAAGGTCCTAGGGGAGGACCTGTTCTGTGCCTTTCTCTTAGTTTCTGGTGTTGGCAATCCTAGGCGTTCTTTGGCTTGTACATGCATCACCCCAGTCTCTGCCTGTGTGGTCACATGGGGTTCTCCCTGTGTGTCTTCACATTGTCTTCCCTGTGTGCGTCCATTAATGACTAAATAATAGGAACATAGGTATAAAAGTGAGTTTGCTTAATATGACAAAGGATTTTTATTTAAAAAACAATAGCAAATATTCTTAATTGGTGATGTTGAATGCTTTCTCTTTGAAGTGGAGACCTTTATAAGGATACACGTCATCCCCACTTATTTTCAATATCTTTCTGGAGGTCCCCAGATAGTGCAATGTGGGGGTAAGATGTAAATGAGGAGGGGGGAGGAGAGAAGCAAGAAGGGAGGGAGAGGGGAAAGGGAGAAAAAAATAATAAAAAGAAAGAAAAGAAACAGGATTGAAGAAGCCTGGGTCCTTCCTCACATGGTGAAATCTGAATTTTTGGATGGGAGGACCCACCATCATCCTCCTGTGCCTTCCAGGTGATTCCATTTTACAGCCAAGTTTAAGAGAGTGTTTTTGTAGATATTTAAGTAGGTGTCATGGTGGTCGCATAAAAGCTTTATTTTTTCATTTGAAGAAAATGCCATTCATTTCAAAACAAGGTTATCCAAAGCAAATTTTTACTTGTTTGAGTAAGTACCAACTTAATGTATGCATCTTCTATTATTTGTTCCAACATTAAGCACTCTTTAAATGGAAATAAGTACATAATTCATGCCATGTAGTAAGGTGCTTGGAGCTGAATGATTATTCTGATTTCTCAGTGTAATTCTATATTGGTGCTATATAAAAGGCGATATTCCTTTTAACATTACTAGTTTTTATTAAAAATTTGGACAGAATAAGATGATCTTATTCTAAGAAGTCTTTGCTATAAAATTTATTGTATTAGGCCAAATTATAATTCTTTCCAAGGACTATGTTTGTTAAAACTTTCCCTATTTTGAAGGTGGTACATCAGAGAAAAGAAGAGACCAGCATGGGGGACGCTGCCACCCCATGGAGGGCATGTTTTTGGCCAGTGAAAGACCAGGTCAGTAGTACGAGAGAAGGCCAGTACAGAGGCATTTTTCCATTTCTTTCAGATGCAGCACCATGTAAAGACCAGTTGTCCTTGAAGGAAAAACCTGGCGTCCCAGCTGGTCTGCATCTTCTGAACCAAGCAGGCTCCGAGGACACCCCTGGGGGCACACTGGCCCCTTTAGTGCCATCTTCCCTTCCTGTGAATGCTGTGCCCCAGGATATGGCTGCACCAGCTGCCAGCCCCAAGCCAGAACCAGCAAGGGGGGCAGCCATGCAGGCAGGGGGCCCAGTGACCTCTCAGGGGATGGCCAGTGAGTGTGAGACCCCCCAGCCACTGGCAGAGACTCATGATGATGTCCAACTTGCTGCAAGGCTCCTGGACATGCCCCGAGGGCTTTGTACCTCTCCTCCAGAGGTCCCTCATTACCCCACAGGTCTCGCGGAGCCTGCCTCAGCCAGAGAGGCCAGCATCCAGGTGGAGTCCCTGCCAGCTCAAATCCCTGTGTCCAGTGCCTCTAGTGGGACCCCTCAGTCTGCCCTGGGCCAGTCCCTACCTCCACTCTCTAATGCAGTGGGGGCCGTGAGCCTGGCTACCCCCCAGCTCCCAAGCCCCCCGCTAGGGCCCACCACCCTCCCCCAACCATTGGAGTCGGATGGGGAAGGGCCGCCTCCCAGAGTGGGCTTTGTGGACAGCACCATCAAGAGCCTTGATGAGAAGCTCCGAAATCTGCTCTATCAGGAGCATGTGCCCACCTCCTCGGCCTCAGCCGGGACGCCGGTGGAGATGAGTGACCGAGACTTCATCCTGGAGCCCCCAAGAGGTGATCGGCCCTATACAGAGGCTTCCAGGGGGGACCTGGCCCTGCCTTCCCAGCTTGTGGTGAGTACTGGCCTTGCCCAGTGCTGTCCTGGGTCAGGGGTCTGGACAGAGATAGGGGCCAACTCGAGTCTGGTAATGCGGAGCTGCCGCATCCCAGCCTGGCCATCCTGCTCTTCGAGATTCACCTCTGAGCCTGACCTGTCAGTGTGTTTTGCAACAAGTGGCCTGTTTGGGGACGTGGGGTGTGTGGGTGGAGGGTCAGGACTTGGCTGGGGCCGAGTGGTGTGTGTGGAGCGCCTGGGGTGGGGCTCTGCTCCAGCCGTGGGCTGGGGAGAGCCCAGGCTTGGGATGGGAGGAGAAGATTTGCATTCAGCTGCAGAGATGTCAGTAAGTGAGGCTGCTGGCTTGCTCTTTTCTGTTTCTTCCTCCAGTTGGACAAGTCAGAACTGGTCCTTGGGCTAGAGGTGGCGTTGGAGCAGGCTGCATCCTCACCAGTGACAGGTGATGAGCCCCAGGTCCACCGGCCCTGTTCCCAATGTTCACGAGGTGCCCCAGCCTTCCTTGCTTCAGAGCACTTTACATCCCCAGCCTTTATCCCTCGGCATCTTGGGTGGGAACCAAACATGGCAGAGCCTGTCATGATGCTTCAGTGTGTGTTCACTTGCCAAGAAGAGAAAGTCCACTGTCTGTGGAAATGGATGACAGCCCCTTCCCCTTAGCCTGGCTGAAGGCTCTGTCAGCTCCTGTCATCACCCCACTCTAGCATGTCTGTCCTGCTTGGGCTGCCACACAGCTCTGACCTGCCATGTCTTTCTTCTGTCATGTGTGGGTCTCAGCTCAGGCTAGTCTCCCGCACATCAGCTCCTGCTCTATCGTTCACTTTTCACAGGTCTGAGAAAGCAGGTGAGAAACATGCTCTGTTGTTTCCATTCTGTAGACAGGGAAACTGAGACAGACTTGGATGACATGGACTTTCCTTAGACAAAAGCGGCAGGGGTAGGAATTAGCCCTATTGATCTCCTTCTAGGACCTTATGAAACTCATTTATCATCAGAACATGTCAGCGAGAGAGAGTGATGCCATCAGGTGATAGAGATGGAAGTTAAGATAGGGTAACACTATCAGGTGTATAGAGAGCCTGGCTATGCCCGAGGGTCTGGAGCATGTACCTGCAGGTACCTGAGTGGTAGTGGGCTGATGCCTTCTTCCTTCCCCAGATGCTAGGGCATCTCTTGTGAGCTTAGGAGGCTGGAGGTTAGGTCAGTTTCTCACTGTGGCTCCCTTTCCCGCCCATTTGCTGCCCTCCCACCATGATTTAGCTGGCCTTGAGCCATTCCTGCCTTTGTCCTCTGCACCATCCCAGGTAATGATTTTAATGTTCCTACAGCAGCAACATCTTTGAGCAACATACTGGGGTCCGATGAAGGACGGTTAGTCTCAGGTTCATCTGCAGCACCCAGTGTCCCTCAGGTAGGTAGTTTTCTGCAATGAGACGCTGAGATGCTCAGCTGGTTGGTGGAGTTTGCTCTCTGCTGGTGTTTGCGTGGAATCTTTTCCTTTCCTCTGTTTCCCAAGGATGCCCCTGCTTCTGCCATCCCTGCACATCTGGAGCTCACAGACCAGAGCGGCGGGGTCCCCAGGGAAACCGTGGCCAAGCCCATGCAGCGTTGCCCCAGGATGTTGACCGAGGGCAGCCAGGCCAGCCACCCCCAGACTCACAGCACTCTGGCCTCAGGGTCCCCTCGGAAACAGCCAGGGCATCAGGATGGCAGTTCACCAGCCAAAACTGTGGGCCGGTTCTCCGTAGTCAGCACTCAGGATGAGTGGACCTTGGCCTCCCCCCACAGCCTGCGGTACTCAGCCCCGCCTGACGTGTACCTGGAGGAGGGGCCCCACAGCCCTGACGTGAAGCTGGCCCTGCGACGTGTGCAAACGGCTTCCTCCATTGAGGTCGGTCCTGGTGAGCCTGTGTCCAGTGACTCTGGGGATGAGTGCCCACGCAGGAGACGCCCTGTGCTGAAGCATGGCTCCCTGCCTGGCAGCGGTGGCAGTGTGGCTAGTGACTTTGTGAAGAAGGCCACGGCCTTTCTGCACAGGTCCTCAAGGGCTGGCTCTCCAGGCCCCGAGACACCCAGCAGGATGGGTGTGAAGGTCCCCACCATCAGTGTGACCTCCTTCCACTCCCAGTCATCCTACATAAGCAGTGATAATGACTCAGAGATTGAGGATGCCGACATCAGGAAGGAGCTGCAGAGTCTGCGAGAGAAGTAGGTCCTGTGGGATGTGTGGCCTCATGGTGTGGGGCTCCAGGCCACGGTGTTAGGGTGCAGTGGGCAGCTGAAATCCAGGTGACAGGGCAATGGTGGTTGTTACTGCTGCTTGTTAGCCTGGTCCCTAGTCTTGGTGCTGTGCCTCTCCACTTCCTGTGGCTGTGCCCTCCTCCTGTGGCCCGTAACAGGATAACCCTGGTGCTGCTCAGACCCAGGCCCTCCTCACACTCTGCAAGTGGTCAAGGTCCCTGAGATGCAGCTGCACCCTGCAGTCTCCTGGGCGGGAGAGGCCACAGTGTAGTTATTGAGGTGGGGAGAGGCTGGTGTCCTGGAGAAGGAATGACTGTGGGCAGAGAGCTCTTAGAGTGGACCTTGACACTGCCCACTCTGAGCAGGAGTAGCCTCCTCTCTCCTATTCCTCCCTGTGGATGGGTGGGGTGGGGCTGTGCCTGCTGGGAGGGGGTGGGAGAACTTGCCAGGCACTGCCCACAGGTCCCCTTGCCCCCGCCCCTTTATTCCAGCTGTGGGTGGTCAGGACCAGCTCTGGGGCACCTGATACCTGTAGCTCCCTCCTGTGGTGTGCTGTGACAGCTGAAGGCTGGACATGGAGCAGCCATTGAGGCGCCAGGTTCCATCTAGGGATGTGGTGTCCAAGGAGGCATGGGGAAGGGGGCTTATCTGTGGTCTCTTGAGGGTGTCACCCTGGAAGCCCTTGGTCAGCAGAAACAAAACGGGAAAAGGAGAGCCCAGAGGGAGCCACCCTCACGCTGTAAGGGGAGCTGTAGAAAATTGGGGATGGGTCTCAGTGCAAGAAAATCAGGGAGAAGAGTCCTGGCTGGTGTGGTTCAGTTGGTTGGTGCCAGTTCGATACTGGCCAGGGTACGTGCCCATGTTGTGGGTTTGGTCCCTGATCTGGGCACATATGAGAGGTAACTGATTGATGTTTCTCCCTCACATCGGTATTTCTCTCCCTCTCTTTCTCCCTTCCTTCCCCTCTCTCTAAATAAATAAAATCTTTAAAAAATTATAAAAAAGAAAATCAGGCAGAAGCTGCTGTGCATTCTGAGGGGGCAGGGCCTAGAGGTGAGGGGTCCTGCAGCCTGGGGAGAGGGTGGGGCCTGGAGGTGAAGGGGTGGGCTACAGGAATGAGAAGGGAGAGAGGAAGAAACTCCGCAAAGAAAAGGATTCCAGAAGCCTGAGAAATGGGGAAATAGAGGCTATTAAGTCCTGGCTCTCTGGCTTGATGGGACAGCAATGTACCCCTATAGAAATGGGGAGCCATTTAGGAGGGGGTGGGGTTTGGATCTGAATTGAAGGGATCAGTGGCTGCCAGATAGAAGATAGCCTTGTGTCAGAGCCCCTGGCACTGTGTGGGGGCACAGGTGCCTGCCCTCCCAGCATTTGCAGTTTTTAGAGCCCCCAGGCTCCCCATAATTTGAGAGGCCTGCTGCAGCCCCTATGGTTGTGTGGAAGGGAGGAAAGGGTGGGCTTTGGGCAGGAGTTTCAGAGTGAGGGTCTCCCCCAAGTCCTAAGTCAAATGCTCCCCATCTGACCAGGCATCCCTCCCTCCACTCCAGGGAGCTTTCACCAGAAACATCACACACTGTGAGAAGCTAATCTGATGTAACAGCAGTTTGCTGTTTAGGGAATTGTTTTTCTAAAACAAACCTGGCAGGTGTTAAAGGCATAAGAGGAAAAATTGGAACTTGGCTTCTCCTGTCCAACCATGAAAAATATCTATTTCACAGCCGCACACAAAGGAGATGGGCCTGGAGTGAGGCTGAGGGGCTGAGCCCCCTGGCTAGGGTGGCTGGGACCCATGAGGTACGGCTGAGGGGATGGTGTCTGGGCCAGTACCGCCCGAGTTGCAGGAGGGCAGGAAGGTGGACAAGGAAAGTAGCCAGGGGCTCGGCCACTGACTCCTGAGGAAGGTTAGCAGGGACTCTTCTCTGGCTTGTCCTAGAAACTGCTCTTGCCTGCAGGCAGTGCTTCTACCTGGGTCTTAATGGAGGCTTCCCACCTGCATGGCCTGTCAGTTAAGCTCTGTGCCCCATGGGTGGTATTGCCTGAGCTGGGAGCCCCGTGGCAGGGAGGAGCTGGAGCCTTGGGCCTCCGACTGACCACATGTGTCTCGCCTCACCTTCTGGCATTCCCTCATCTGAGACTCCTCTGGTGCTCTCTTCTGTTGTGTGGAGGAACTAAGACCTGATGAATCCAACAAGCCTCCAAATTCTGAGCACTGATTATTTTTCTTTTCACCTGTGTTTATGTGCAGGGTTTGTATTGCGAGCATAAATGTGTGAAATTGTTCTTACCACCACCTCTCCCCCAAAAAGCTCCTAGAACACAGCAGTATTATGAGCCTGGATGGGAAACAAGCCTCCCTAGGCTGGCCGTCTGCAGTTCTTTGATACTGGGTGCTGATTCCAGGGCACCCAGTGATGCCCACTTGGTTTAGATGTAGACCGAAAGATGTTTAAATAAATGCCCCTGAGACCCCTCTGAGCGACCTCATCTGCCTAAGGCTGGTCTGTGGGCTGCTCGTCCCACCTTCATGTTTGTCTTGGGCTCTCAGGAGGCTTACCTAACTCTTCCCATCTTTCCCCTCCTGCAGACACCTGAAGGAGATTTCAGAGCTGCAGAGCCAGCAGAAGCAAGAGATCGAAGCCCTGTACCGCCGCCTGGGCAAGACCCTGCCCCCCAACCTGGGGCTTTTTCATACAGCGCCCCCTGCCGGCCGCCGGAGAAAGACCAGCAGGAGCAAGCTGAAGGCTGGGAGGTTGCTGAACCCGCTGGTACAGCAACTCAAGGTTGTGGCCTCCAGTACAGGTCAGCCCTGTGTGCTCCTGGTTCCCCTTCGGAGGAGGCTGGGCTGGTAGCTGGGCGGATGGAAGATAGGCACCCAGACCTGGAAGAGTGCTTCATGACTCTTTCATGGGAGTGGGGAAGCTACCATGGGCTGTGGTGGGCTAGGGCTTCTGCCCCCATGCTGTGGCAAGAGGAAAGGACTGTGAGTGGGCAGGTCTGCTCAGAGCACTCAGCCACCTGTGAGCTGTAGTATGTGAGGGAGGAGGAGGCCCAGGGTCTCCAGAGCTGGGGGCTGCCCTTTCCCACCTACTCCCTGCTGCAGGTTGCTGCCTGGGACGGTGCTGTTCCCTCTGGCGCAGTCTCTCAGACTTATGTCACCTGCTGACAGTGGGGGTTGAACAGTTAGCTGCCTTTGGGGAGGAGAAACGTGGTGAGGACCCCAGCCCTTAACCACAAACCCTGGGCACCGAGGGTGCACATGGGCCCCGGTGACCACAGTCTGGGGCGGAGACCCAGTGAGTCGAAGCCTCAGGTGCGCCAGGCGGGAAGTTGGTGGTGAGCTGACCACAAACCCTCAGTGTTGTATATAACCTGCAGGGCATAGGTCCATGAATTGCAGGAAGTACACAAATTCTCTGCCAATTCCTAATGCTAGCGGGAGACAAATTAGAGTGAGGAGGAAGTTTGCAGGTCCCCTTTGAGCTCAGATGCATCTCCTGGTGTACCACAGTCCTTTCACTGCATTTGTACAAGTCAAGCCCAACACAGTATTAACTGGTGGAGACCGTGGTCACTTTCTTTAATCTTCCCACCACTCCCACATGGGTAACCTGGCCACATGCCCATTTCCTACAGGGACTCAGCTTCTCCAAGGTCACCCAGCAAAGAGCAGGGAGGACAGATGCACCCTGCACTGGCTGGTCTGTCCTGCGGCACCTTATAGTGCCTGTACCCCCTTCTCCTCACCCAGGTCATTTGTCAGACTGCAACAGAGCCCCTCCTGCTAAGGACCCCACCAAAGCCGGGGCGGGGCCCGCAGCAGCTTCAGACCCGTGTGGAAAGGCAGTTCAGACCCAGCAGCCTTGCTCTGTTCGGGCCTCCTTGTCTGCAGACATCTGCTCCGGCTTAGCCAGTGACGGAGGCGGAGCACATGGCCCAGGTGATTCTCAGCTTGCCCATCTCTGAGCATGTGCTAGTCAAGTAGGGCTTAGTTGTGTGGTATAGAGGGGACATGAGCTGTGGCCAAGGCTGCCAACAGCTTCTTAAAGACATATGGAGGTAGCCTTTGAATGGAAAGATGGATGGCCCAGCCATCAGAGTCTTGTAGTAAGTGGCTCAGAGGGAGGTGTGCTTGGTTAGAGTGACCTGGGAAAGGCACCAGGACCACTGAGAGGTCAGACGTGGCATCTGCTGTGTGGTCAGTGCCAGGTCCCAGGCACTGCCCACTCTGCCCTGCTCCATTCCCCACTAAACACGGGTCCAGAAGGGCTGCTGGGGGAACCAGGGCACAACTCTTGATCTGGGAGTTTGGCCTTGAGGAGGAATTGCCGTGGACACAGCAGCTGTGCGATGAGGTGCTTCACCCGCGCCATCTCTGTCCAGAGATGTGGTGATGGCTGCCACGTCTGATTCCCCCTCCACTCCACCCCCCCGCCCCGCACGCCTTCCTGGGGTCCGCTTCTCTTCCGCTCCAATGCTTCCTCCTTTCCATTATGTGGTCCGTGGCTGTGGTCCTCTGGGCTGGGCTAGGTGCAGCCGTGGATGCTAAGTGACTGAGGCTGATGTGGCTGGTGGTGTAGGAGGAAGCCCAGAGACTGTACTTGATGCCTGTCTCTCTGTTCTCTTCCCTCTATATTCATTTGCAGGCTGGACGGTTTGCCACCCAACGTCTGAGAGAGTGACCCATAAGTCTAGTAGCAAACCTCGCGCTCGATTCCTCAGTGGACCCGTGTCTGTGTCCATCTGTCTGTATTTGTTCTTCTGTATTTTATCACCACCTGGCCCTTGGTTTCTCCCCACCCTCTTTCTGTCTTCATTACCTTCCACACTTTTTGTAGGATGCCTCCCCCCCCCCCCCCCACTGAACTCATTTAATATGGAAAACGGAGCCCCGTCCACACCCACCTGTCTGGCCCCAGAAAGCACACCAGTGCATGCTCTCTGCTCCTGCCTGGGCACCAAAAGCATGTGTAGCAGCCTACCCATTCAGAGACTCAGTGCCCTGCCCACACCCCCACTCCCAGCCTTAGCTCCACCTCCAGACCCCCAAGGCGCTGTACTCTCTTTCATCACTTGTTTTGTTTTTGTTTTTTAAATGTTGAGCATACGTTTATTTCAGTTCTAATTAAGGCAAATGTACACATCTACTGTCCCCTGTTCCAGCAACAACAAAAAGACAACCTGGGCCTTCTCTACATGCATGATGTGTTTCACATGTGTCTGGATTTTGAAGACATGCATGTAGTGAGCTGAGACAGTGCTAGAAGGTCACTGGAGGGTGTAACTTCTGTACAAGGGCTGTATCACAACATCCAGTATTATCCACCTACCGTCCCCTCCCTGCATGTGGGAATGCTGAGAACATGCTCCAGCTAGGACTCCCCAGCCCTTCTCTCCACTCTGCTCATCTCAGAATCTTCCAGCTCTGGGAGAGGTGACTCCCAGCCTACCACCATGCTCCGCATCTGGGCCCGGCCCCTCCTCGTTTTCTCTCTAGCTCCTGCACTTGGTGTGTTTCCCTCTCATCTCAAGGACCTTAGAGATGAAGTCAATTATGCAGGTCCACAAAACCCTGTGAAACCAAACCTCAGTCCCAGTTGTCCTCAGCGTCCCTGGAATGCCCTCCTAGTACCCAGGACTCATGTCCAGGAACGGCCTACCTGCTCGGGGCCATCCAAAATTGTTTTTATCCCTCAGATGGATTGGCAAATGAATAAAAAGCTGTGGGCTTTTCAGGTTTTTGTTTTTTTTTTTAACAGAAAAATTAAGCTTTTTACCAGTTGGATTGGACATGCTGATTTGGGGCATGTGGTTTTTGGCTTGTACAATAAAGATACATTGTGCTTGTTGGAACCTGAGGCCACTTCCACAGTAAACATCTAGCCCCTTCAGGGGGCCCACGGCATCCTCCCTGGGTGGGCAGGCCAGGTTGGAAGCCCGAGATCAGGTAGAACATGCCCAGGGACTGCCCCGTGACCCTCACCCACTGACAGAAGCCTGGTTCAGCTTGTGGGTCACTGGGCTGCCAGTTAGGTGCTGAGTTGGATTGGGGGGCATGGGAAGAGGGGAGCCCTGAGTGCATGCCAGCTCCCTGTTCACTTGGTGTTCCCCTTCTGCCCATATGTACATGGCTGTTGCCCTGGAGGCTATGGTGTGAGAACATCTGGATCCACGTGTGTCTCTCATGCTCAGATGGGCAACAGTGTCCCTGCTGGGAGGGTCATTGGCCATATGTGGGAAGCACATTAGAACAGGTGGTGGTTTTCCCAGGGCACTTGGAGTAAAATACCTGTGAGTAAGCAGTACCATGTGTGCCTTTCAGGTCATCACCACTTTCCCTTTATATGTACTTGGTCCTGCTTGTTTTTAAGGGTTTTCTTTTTCTTCACTATTACTTATTGTTCCAACATAAGAGTAAAATTTATGCCATTGCAGGGACAAAGAGGTTAGGTTTTGCTTCTGTCCTGGCCCAGAGGAAAGGAATGTGTAAAGCACAGCTTGGTGGCAAAAGGTGGGGCCTGGCCCAGGCAAGTTGATTTTAGGTAGTGGCTCGTACTGGCCTGGTAGTCCTTGTTTCCTCTGATGTTGTGAATATGAGGATATTGCTGTTTGCATAGCCCAGCTATATTTAGGCATGTCTTGGTTGAGTTCCCAGTCTTTTCAGGCCATGATGTGGCTCCCACATGCTTGAGGTTGCTGGAGAGGAAAGTGCTTGGCCTGCTCTGGGCCCTCTTGCCCATGGCAATGAGGCCTGGGGGTTGTGAAGACTTGAGCTTCCCTGCTCCTCTACTAATGGGGCCAGAGAAGCCAGGACACCACCACCCCTTTGGTCCTGGTATCCACCTCGCCAGCCCTCTGGGCTCCTCCTAGAGCCACTGTGTATTGCTTCCTGGGTGAGAGACTGGAGGGAAGTTCAGAGCTGGTCTGGGAGGGCTGAACGATTGGCCACAAGGGGAGAAGAAAGCTGGAGCTTGAGGTACAGGGTAGCTGGCCCAGCCCAAGCTGAAGATAAAATTGAGAAAGGTTTTCTGTTCCCTATCCTGAAAGGAACAGGAGATGAGGCTCTGGCAAAGTGAAATCTGCATAAAGTTTGGAAGTACAGGAAGTCCCAGCTTCTCTGAAACTCAGAATATGAGAGAGATCAGAAATGAGCTCCTACAGCCTCAGGAGGGCCAGGAGGTAACCCCATGTGGGAGAGGAAGCCAGGCCTGAGACTTAGAACATGGGAGGTCATAGCCTCAGCACCTCTTTGGGGTGGGCATTGGATCAGGCCTGCTGTTTGGCGGGCAGGCCCCAGGGGAAGGCTGGACCCCGAAGCAGGGCAGACCCTGGATACAGTCTCAGAGGCTGCTGCCTATCCTACAGGACCCCTCCAGCTTGGCTTAGGTTGCAGAAGTGATTGTATCCTGGTGTCCTGTTGGTCTGAAGTTGTTGTCAGACTCATCCTTCCCCTGCCTCTGGCTCCTCCTGACCGAGGCAGGGCCCATATCCTCCAGGACCTCTCTACACACGGAGCCCTTGTGTTTTCCTCCTGTGTCTTTGACAACATGCCTGGTGTTCATGCTGCAGCATGTTTGTCTCTGGGACCCCTGCTGCCACTGTGTAGCTCCCCCAGGCCCCACCCTTGACTGGGGTGTGTGTTCTCTCCTTCCTTCTGTCCCTGTGGGGACCCACTGGAGTGGGTTTGGGAGAGGACCCAGGGGCAGGGGAGGGTACCCAGGGAGGAAAATCTCACATGCATCCTCTGCCACAGCTTAGGCCACCCAGGCCAAGTTTGAGAGCAGTCTAAGGGGCTGGGCCCTATGCTTCGAGGCCTGTGCAACCCAGGCAGTGACACTCAGGGTGAAGTCACCCTAGGGCAGAGCTGATAGGCACCCACTTCCCAGTTCCTGCTTCAGGGACAAGTTTTGGCACTTTTCATAGCTTTAGAAGTTGGTGGCCCAGTACATAGACACTGAGCAACACTCTGGTGCTCTCCATCCATTTTCTTCTCTGTGCCAGAACCAAGTGCCTACTGCCACTGTTGGGATAAGCCCGACCTGTCAGAGATGTGCCTCTTGTCACAGGGGTTGGGGACCCTGGCTGGTCTGCAGTGAGACTATGGCCCTGCACTTCCATGTGCCTTGTCAGTATTTGAACACCAAGATAAATGGCAAATGTGGGGATGGCTATAGGGTCTGGGCCATTTTTAAAGCAATCTGTCCCCATCAGACACCCTCAAATGTGAGGCATTCTGCTGGCAGCCAGCCAGCGTTCCGAGGGTGGGGGTTGTCCATGCTAGGAACAGCCTTTGTTCCTGTGCCAGAGTGAATGTGGGGGCAAGTGGCATGGGGCCTTGCCTCACTGCGGTCTTGAGTGCTGCCTGAGACCCCCAGTCTGGCTGTGAGGGCAGAAGGCTGGTTGCTTTCAAGAACACTCCTACAGACATGTGCTGCACAAGGGCAGGGCGCCAGGTCATCCCTGAGTGCTTCCCTTTTGCAGTCTAAGAGGAAGAGTCTTCTTGCCCCACGTGGACACTTCCCTGAGTAGCTCTGAGGCATGGAAGCTGGCTCTTCTTTTCCCAGGGCCTTGGCCAACCACAAAGTCCTTCAGGGGAGACCTCCACTTTTCATGGGAAACCAGGGGTGGGGCTGGTTTAAACCATCATGCCCTGTGTGGACCCCATGTGGACCTCCTGTGAGTTCTCTGTGGGTCCTGGCACCTTTGCTTTACTGCCTGATAGTTTTATGGGCAGGAACCAGGGGTTCTATACCCCAGTGTGGTATAAGGAAAACATGGCAGGGTGTGGCTTGTCTGTCCAATGCCGTATGTTTGGAGAGCATAAAGTGCAGGCTCCAGGCCAGGACACAGATACTGTGGAAAGGCTGAAGCGGGCAGGGCTCTGCTGGAGCGAGGCTGGTCACCAACCCCATGGTGGCTACTCTGCTGTAGTTCTGCATGCAGCCAAACAGCATGATTTCAGTGTTTAGGGCTCTGAATCTGTTTGACTTGTGTTTACAGTTCAGCTGGGAGGGCCAGAAGCTGTTAGTGCTCTGGTCACCTTGGGCATGGGCATGGAGGCCTCCATGGACTGGTGTGGCTTTCCAGCTCCAAGCACAGTGTTCTGGTGGCCATGGCACCGACCCTCTGTTCCCAGTGAGGTCTGTCTGAGGCCCTGGCTCCCTCTGGTGGTTTTGAGCAGGCATCTGGATATGGATGGTCCTCCCACAGGCTGATGGGAATCAGCCCTGAACTTAGAGGTCTAGCATGGCAGACCAAGAGCAGCCTTTTGAAAGAACCTGCTGCTATTAGGCTGTGGGGCCCATCTGGGTATTTAGTCCCATGTCCTCGGTCATCAGTAGGAGCCTGCTGTGGTCCAGAAGCTAAGGCTACCACCACCCAAACCCAACAGGGAAATGTGCATTCCCTGGTGCCCCACAGTCACCAAGCTGGGACCCTCCTACCTGCCCCATGCAGTTCCCAAAGGACCCTATGTTCCCAATAGGGCTCCATCTGGAACACAGACCAACAAAGGCCTTTCAACACTCCGACCAAGATTCAGTTGGGCTGGACTGCTTCTGCCTGTCTCTTTCCTTTCTATTTGCACATTAAAGATCCCAGCAGGACATCACCGGCCTTTCCTCAAGTCAGCCTCAGAATACATAGGATGAACTAAAATAAAAACAACTGAATTTGAGTCCAGTGTACACAGCTGTGTGCTACATTGCCTGGTTGACCTCTGCCCTCTGTCCTCAAACACAGGAGGCAGCGGTTTGTCTTCCATGGCTAGAGTGTTGGGACTGGTGCTGCTGCTGTCAACGCCCTCCAGGGAGCAGCATGGTTGTGTACAGGACGTCCTGCTCCTGGTGAGGGGCATAGGCGGGAACACAGAAAGACCCTCTACATTAGTGCAGCCTTGCTGAGTGACCTTGGGGATGCCTGAGCCATCCTTGCCTGTCCCATCTCTGCCTGCCTGACTCTCTGGAAGGCCGGATAAGCTGGATGCAGCAGTCCTTCCTGGCCAGCTCATCTGCTTTCCAGCTGGGCCAACTGTTGAGGCATGCCAGACACTAACGTCAGCATGTCTGTCAGCACAGACAGGCTCTGTGGATCACAGGGTCCAGCAGCCCTTAGTGGTGGTCCCATGGCAAGGAGGCCTTGCCCTGCTCTGGTGAATAGGGAACACCAGGTAAGGCTGCCAAGTGTAGCAGAGAATCAGGGTCAGCTCTGCCTCCCACCTTTCTGTACGACTCCCTGTATTTCTTTAATGCCCACTGCTGGCCTGGTCAGGGCAGCTATGTGAGACCCAGGATTGGCCTCAAACCTGCAAAACAATGTACCTTTTTTGCACTTGGAAAACCTCCCATGGGCCTTGTGGCCAGGCTCTAGTGAGCAAGTGCTCTCCTGGCTGACATTAGCGGGGATTCCTGCCTTAATCAGTGGAAAAAGGGCCTGAAAGCCCTAAGTTAAAAAGCCAAGTGGTGTGCCTTGCCTTTTTTTGGTTTGTTTTGTTTTCTTCTTCTTCTTCTTTTTTTTTTTTTTTTTGAATATGTTTCCAGAGATACACACTCTTCTATCTGAAGCTTGGGGCTTGGCCCTGCACCTCCGCCCTTCGGCGAAGCGCGTGTGAACTGCACACTGATTCAGGGACACCCAGTGAGCCCAGGAAGCTGGTCTTTTTTCTCTGAACTGCTGGCCTTTGCTACTCCTTGCACTGATTACTTTTGCTTAAAGTGTGGTGGCTTGACCCCGTGTGTACTGTCCTGCCTAATTCTGTGGTCTTGTGTCGTTTCTTTCTCCCTTGCAGGGTCTGCCTTGAAGCGTCTCTGTCTAGGCAAAGAGCACAGCAGTCGTAATTATCGGGGTTTTTTTCATCCCTTGTCCGCTCTCCATTGCATGAGCTTTATTGTGGCTAGTTCGCATCAGGGTTTCCATGGCTGGGCCTGGAACCATGGAGCTGGAGGACAAGCAGGCGTGGACCTGCTCTGTGCCCACCCTCCATGGACACTGCTCTACCTCCACCTGGCGGGACAGCCATCTGTGGTGCCCCATTGCATCTCCATGGCTCTTAGACTTTGTGTATTCTCGCCAGTTCACATCTAATAGGCTGTTCTGCACTGGAACATGCACACATTCTCGTTTGTTAATTGGCTCCTTTTCCAAAATTGTAGGAATGAGTATTTCTTTGAAGTGCTAAAGATGAGTGAAAGGAGAGTTCCTGGGACAAAATGGGTATCAGGCTACCTGGGCCACCCACTGCTCTCATCTCGTGCCTTTTTTTTTCCTTTCTTCTTTCCTGGCTGAAATGTTCATGTAGATGTAGCTCTGTGTGTGTAGAATCTCTTTACTAATGTCTAACTGTTTGTGTCTGTGCTTTTTGTTGCTAGCCACTAAAGTAGACTACATTTTGCAATGGCTTGTTTGAAGAGATGGTCATTAGGTTATTTTTTTAATTTTAAATGCAGAACTTTTAAAAAGCGTCTTATTCAGAATTGCCAACCAGAAATTATGTGTAGGAGGAAGGGAAGGGACACAATTTTTTTAAAAAAGTAAAGTCCTGATTTGGTCATTTAAAACAAATCTTTGAGTGAAGTGGCAAGTGACTTTGCCTCCCTCTCCTGGAGCACATGGCCCAGGCCTCCCCGGCAGCCCTGGCCTCCCCTCCTCCAACCACCCCTCTGCTGGTGCCCAGATTGCAGGCCCATTATGGATGGAAGGCTCTAGGTTTGTGCCCTTTATTAGTACCTGCCCCAGTGCTCTGTTGAGGAGAGGTACAATTTCTGTGTCTTAAATTTGAAACCACCAGGCCATGTAAATTCACAGGAATGCCAATGACCTAGCCTATCCCAGGTATTTTCCCTTTGCTAGAAGTACAACAGCAGCTGCTATGTGCCAAAAGCATCCTCTCTGAGTCCTAAGGTTAGAGCTAAGAGTTCAGAGGCCTGAATGGTTTGCCCCCAGTTTGCCAGGAGTCTCCAGAGCTCTCTCACTTTGGGGTCTGGCAGGATCAAGGCACTTATGCACAGAGTGAATGTGGAGTAAGGCTGTCAGCAGCTGGGGTCCTATTCCCTGGCCTGGCTGATGAGATGGGTGACATATCCCAGTCCCCCTGTGGCCTGTGGAAATGCTTCACCATGTCTAAAACTGGCACATGGTTCCCAAATGCAGACCATCTCCTGAAGCAAGATGTTGCCTAGCCTATGCGGGACCATTGTATGAATGACTGCAGCCGGCCCCTGTTACTGGCGGATGGTGTCACCAACCCTGGCCTGTGTGTGCCTCCCCAGGGTCCTCCACCAGCAGCCTGGTCCCAGGCCCCGAGCCAGGCCCTCCACCTGCCCTGCATGTCCAGGCTCAGGTGAACAACAGCAACAACAAGAAGGGCACTTTCACGGATGACCTGCACAAGCTGGTGGACGAATGGACCAACAAGACAGTGGGGGCTTCGCAGCTGAAGCCATCGCTCAACCAGCTGAAGCAGACACAGAAGCTGCATGACATGGAGGCGGTGGCTGGCTGGCCCCTGACCTCTGGCGAGGTGCAGGCTGTAAGTGGGGTGTGGCTGGGTCAAGGGGACAGGGTGGGAGTGGGGCTGTGACCCCAAGTAACAGCAGAGCAGCAGCTCTCAGCTGGGCTTCAGGTGGCATCTAGGTGGGGCTGTCCCAGATCTGGTGGGTGCAGCCTCATTGTCACAGGCCCAGCTCCACCCGTCCTCGCTGTGACCTTTGGGCTGAAGATGTAGGTGGGCTCTGCACACTGCACCCAGGGCCACCCCTTGTTGGGCTTAGATGTGCCTGGACCAGGTGGGCAGAAGCCAGGACCAGCTGTCTTAGATTTTGTCATGTGATGTGTTCCTGTGTGAGGACTTTGCTGACTTCAAACCTACTTGAAGGAGTATTCCCTCTTTTTCAGTATTCTGGGGGAGTTTGTGCAAGATTGTGTTATTTCTTTGTGAAGTGTTTAGCAAAATTCACTGATGGGACTGTCTCGGCTGATGGTTCTTTTTTGAGTGTGGGAAGGATCCTCTGTGGCCTTTTATTTTGAAAAATTTCAAACACACAGAAGAGTTGAAAAATCCACAGGGAACTCTTGTGTACCTCCTATCTGCATGCTGTGAGTGACATTTTACTGTTTTTACCATCCCTTGAGGGTAAGGTTTCTGTTATGGATTCAATTTCTTTTATAGTTTAAGTACCATGTAGAGCTTCTCTTCCTTTCTGTTAAGCTCTACTTTTCTAGCAATTAGTACACTTCTAAATTTATTTGTTTTCAAATTAATTGGCATTAAAATTCATAGTATCTTCACCATTAGCAAGATTTGCACTGATGTATTTTTCATTCCTGATATTGGTGATTTCTGAATATGTGCACACTTTCTGTTTCTTGAGGGGTTTATAAATTTTATTAGACTTTTCGAAGAATTCTTTTTTGCTTTGATGGTATTCTTTATTGTGTGTTTCATTAATGTCTTTATTATTTTATTCCATCTTACATTTTTTGTTCTAGAAAGTTTGTTGAGATGAGCAGTTACTAATTTCCAGCCATTCTTTTGTAATACAGACTTCAGGCTACAAAATTCCCTCTGAATGGGTTTAGCTGCAGCCCAAAGGTTTTATTATATAGCATTTTCTTTGACCTTCAGTTCCAAATGTTTTGCAATTTTCACTATGATTTTAAATGCTGTAGTTATTAATCTCCTTGTGATCTTTTTATTTACCGTTTTTTAGACTAATTGTGTTTTCAGTTTGTTAAAATTTGTTGGGACTGGCTTTTTGACCCAAGATGCCAATCTTCGCTGCTCTAAGGATGAGTGAGGCCAGCCTCTTTCATTTCCTCTCACATCCGCATTCCTAGTCAGAACCTCCCTTATTTATTTCCCTTCTGAATGATGGCAGCACCCTCCTGACAGCCACATCTCCACCAATCTGACTCCTCAAGTTTATTTTCCAGTATTCTGCAAAGTCGAGAACCCTTAACATGGCCCCAAAGCCCTGCAGGGTCTTACCCTGAGCCCTGGGCAAGCTTGTGTCAACACTGCCATCTGGACCCCCAACACTGGCTTTCGGAGCCTGTGCCCTCCCCTCTCTGTCAGTCCTGCTAATCCTGTTGTTCAGACGGTCGGGATCCTTACTAAGATTTTTCATTTGTTTGTTTTTATTTCTTTACTATTTTTGTAGTAAATCTAAAGAACATAAAATTTACCATTTTAATCATTTTTAAGTGTATAATTCAATAACATTAAGTATATTCACAATGTTATACAGCCATCACTGCTATCCATGTCTAGAACATTTTCATCATCCAAAAGAGAAACTACTCCAAAGAAATAACTCTTTGGTGTCCTCCTCTTGGCACCTCTGGTTACCCAGTCCCTATTAACTTTTATTCTACTTTCTGTTTCTATGAATCTTTCAACTCGTAGTTACTTCTTTTAAGTGGAATCATACAGTATTTGTCCTTTCCTGTTTGGCTATCTTCACTTAATGTTTTCAGGGTACATTCATGTTGTAGCATGTTTTAGAACTTCATTCTTTTTTTCCCCAGGTTTTCTTCTTTTTTTATTGTGATACAATACACATAACATAAAATTTGCTACCTTAATCATTTTTAAGTACCAGTTTGGTGCATTAAGTATGTTAATATTGTTATTCAACCATCACCACCATCCATTTCCAGAATTTTTTATGTTGCGAAACTGAAACCCTGTACTCACTGAAAACAACTCCCCATTTACACACCTCCCCCCGCCCTAGGCCAGTACCCCACTGCCCCCGGCAACCATCATTTTACCTTCTGTCTTTATGAATCTGACTACTCTAGTTCCTCATATATATGGAATCATGCAGTAATTGTCTTTTTACAACTGGCTTGTTATATCTAGCATAGTGTCATTAAGGTTCATCTATGTTGTATCATGTGTTACAACATCCTTTCTTTTCAAGGCTGAATAGTATTCCATGTGTATATGCCTCATTTAGTTTATTCATTCATCCATGGACACTTGGGTTGCTTCTACCTTTTAGCTACTGTGAATAATGCTACTACAAACATGGATGTACAGATATCTTTTGGGGGTCATGCTTTCACTTTTTTGGGGTACATACCCAGCAGTGAAATCACTGTATCATATGTTAATTCTATTTTTAATTTTTTGAGAAATTGCCAAACTGTTTTCCATGGCACTTGAGCATTTTTACATTCCTACCAACAATACACAGAGTTTCCAGTTTCTCCTCATTTTTGCCAAAATTTCTATTTTGTGATTTTTTTAAGAGGAGCCATCCTAACGGGTATGAGGTGTGATATTTCATTGTAGCTTCAATTTGCATTTCCATAATGATTAGTGATGCTGACATATTTCATGTGTTTATTGGCTATTTGTATATCTTCTTTGGAAAAATAACAATTTAAGTCCTTTACCCATTTTTATATTTATTTATTAATTTATTTTATTAATACAGAGGTCTTTTATGTTTTTTACACTTACTGTGCCATGAATTCATAGAGAACAGGTTCTAGCAGCTCAGGGTCCTTTCACTTGGTTCTCACAAAGTGTGCTTCTCTGGGTGGAGCAGGCTGATGCTTTAGTTGAACCCAGATACCTTTCTTTTTGGCTTCCTTGTTTTTCTGATCATTTTCCTTCACATGTTTCAGGAAGCTGTCTCAGTTCTTAGAGTGCTTAATGTGCTCAAAACATACTTTAATTCTCTTAGCAGGAATCTTGCCCTTAACTTGTTTGTTCACAACAATGCCCACTGCGTGCTGGGTGATGTAGACTCCTCCAGTTTTGCCATGGGAACATTTGTGGGGCATTCCTTTTTGAACAGTGCCCTTCCCTGGATGTCCACAATATCACCTTTCTTGTAGATTAGCATATAGGTGGCCAAAGGAACACTTCCCTGTTTTCTAAAAGCCTAGAGAACTCATAGTGGGCGCCTCTCCTCTTTCCCTTTGTGTTAGTCATTTTGGCCAACTACTGGAAGATGGTAGTCCTGGCTGAAAAGAAACCCTTTACCCATTTTTAAATAGTGTTGTGGGGTTTTTTTACAACGGTTTTTTTAATCCTCACTTGAGGATATGTTTATTGATTTTAGAGAGTTAGGAAGGGTGGCAAGGAGAGAAAGAGAGAGAAAGAGGAACGTTGATATGAGAGAGAAACAGTGGTTGCCTTCTGCATGCACCCCAGCTGGGGATTGGACCTGCAGCCTAGGTATTTGCCCTGACCAGAGACTGAACCTGCAACCTTTTTGTGCACAGGATAATGCCCCAGCCAACTGAGCCACCAAGCCAGGGCTAAATAGCATTGTTTTTTGTTATTGAGTTTTAAGAGTTCTTTATTCTTGATATATTAATGCCTTATCAGATACATGCTTTGCAAATATTTTGGGTTATTCTGTAGGTTGCCTTTTACTCTGTAGAAAGTGCCTTTTGAGGCACAAAAGTTTTTAATTTTCATGAAGACCAATTTATCTATTTTTTTTCCTTCTGTCGCCTGTCCCTGGTGTTGTATCGAAGAAATCATTGCCAAATCCAAAGTCATGAAGTTTCCTCTATGATTTCTTCTAAGAGTTTAGTAACTTTAGCTCTTACGTTCATTCCTTAATCCATTTTGAATTAATTTTTCTATATGGTGTTAAGTAAGGCTTCAGCTTCCTTCGTTTGTGTGAATATCCAGTTTCCCTAGCAGTATTTGTTGAAAAGCCTGTCTTGTCTTTTCCGCATTGAATGGATTTGGCACCTAAATTGAAAATCATTTCACCATATGTGCAAAGGTTTAGTTCTGTATTCTCTATTCTATTCCACTGCTCCATATGTCTGTTCTCCTACTAGTATCATATTATTTTAATTTCTGTAGCTTTGTGGTAAGTTTTGAAACCAGGAAGTGTAAGTTCCCCAACTTTGTTTTTCTTTTTCAAGATAGCTTTGATTTTTGGCCATCCCTTGAGACTTCTAATGATAGTTTTGTGGGGTTTTTTTGGATGGGTATTTTATTTCTTGAAAAAAAATGCCATTGAGACTTTAATAGTGATTGCATTGAAGCTCTATCACTTTGGGTAGTATTAGCATGTTAACAATATTGAGTCTTTCAATTCATGAACATGGAATGCCTTTGCATTTATTTATCTCTTCCTTAATTTCTTCTAGCAATGTTTTGTAGTTTTTGTTGTATTAGTCTTTCAACTTTTAAAGTTTATTCCTAAGTATTTTATTCTTTTGCATATTATTGTAAATGCAATTGTTAATTTCCTTTTTAGATCATTCATCATTAATGTAAGGAAATGCAACTTATTTTGTACCCTGCAACTTGGCTGAATTTATGAATTAACTCTTAACAGGTTTTTATTTGTTTGTTGGTAGTTTTTTTTAAGGTTACCTACATATGAGATTGTGTCATCTCTGAACAGAGATAATTTTACTTTTTCCTCTCCAATATGATTGCCTTTTATTATTTTTTTCTTGCCTAATTTCTCTAGCTAGAACTTCCAATACTATATTGAATAGAAGTGACAAAAGCATGGATTCTTATTATCTTGTTCCTGATTTTAG